CTCATTTTTTAAATCTTACCTGAGCAAACTGAAGAGAGAAGCTGATTGGTTGCCATGGGGAACTGCTCCAGACTGTCTGCTACAGTTTTGATAAATTCTCGCCCAATGTGACCTCAGGTACCGATACACTTCCACTGCCAATCCTGACGGTGCATATAAGAAACCAAAATGTGATGCCAAATAGGTTATGGCAAGTCACAAACTTCCACACAATGTTTTGTAGAACTGCCACAATCCCATTTTATACCTTTGTATTATAAGGCGTGTCATGAAAGATAATCCAGGGCGGTCATTGCCAATCTGCAATGAATGTGAAAATGCTGACCCTCTAATATCAATGAGTTCTAAGTCATGGGCACATAATAAGTATGCAAATCAGCAGTTCTCCAACGCCCGGCCACCATATATATGCGTCCCAGCAGTGTTTACGATCGGGATTCGAGGACAGGCTCCCGATCATGTGATCATTGTGATTAGCCGTGACAGCGATAAAATTATGAAGAGCTCCTCTTCAATGGCTCGCAAATTACTTCTGTCAAAGACACATTGTGTTACTTCCTGCTCGCTTGATGTTGGACACATTTGCTGTGCGTTAGGGCTGGAAAAACTAATCGATTTAAATCAATCATGAGAATCGTCAATCGTTGTATCGGCAGAGGCAGCAGGGATTGGATGGGACACAGATTGCTGCAGCAGGCACCCAGTGGGGAGGAGAGACCGGCTGTCAGGGCGGTGTGGGGATAGCTCCGGTGACGGGTGGGTGGAGTGGCTCAGAATGAAGAGCAGAGGATTAGTAAATACGTCAAACAGTTACCGACCCTTTCCTGTGCAGAACAAACAGAGTCATCAGTACTGATGACTCTGTTTGTAAACAACTGAGGACATAGTGAGTATCATGTCCCCAGTTATGAACAGAAGTGCTCTACATCACTTCCGGTTCATTTATGAAATCGGGACTTATACTATCTGCTCACTTTATCAACATAAAGCAGCTCAGTACAGAGGCTTCCTGTCCATTCATAACTGGGATGATAGTAAGCGAATGAACAGAAAGCCTGTGTACCTCCTGTTCATGGAGTGATGGTGCTGCAGAAAAAGATTGAGTACTCTGTCCTCAATCTTTTTTTATTTCAAAAGGGAAAAATGGGGGGTATGTTTAGACCCCCTGATATCTCCCCAGAGTCACCAACAGTAAAGTAAAAAAAAAAAAAAAAGTTTAAAAAATAAAAAAATTATTAATTAATTCTGAAGTAAACGGTGTGTATGAAACACTACATTTGTGTTCCCCATGGTCCCTGTGAGTTGTAAAGTAGCCACCCTCCTGAAGGAAGGACAGTGTCGGCACCAATTCAGAGATGATTTGAGGATCTGCAGCCGAGTGATACACAAATACGATACATTTGTGTTCATTGTTAGGGTACTGGAAATTATTTCTAAGATTTAACTCCTGAGTTTAGTGTCAGGAGTTAAAAGATTCAACTTTTTTTTCCATCAATATGTTACAGTGAAAGAGCTGGCTGAAGATAGTAAATATAGCCGGTCTGAGTTTAAAATACCTGGTGTGCTTGTTCAGACCCCACTTATTACCTCATTTCGGCCACACATAGGACAGAGTTCAGTTCCTCACTCACTGGTGAAAAAAAGACACTCCCTGCTATATACATTGATATATAGTCCTTATAAAAAAAAATGTGCACATCTGGTACGTACTTTTGTCTCCTTTCACTATTATATTTTTATTAATCTGAACTCTCATAAATAGCACCTTGTTCTCTGTAGTTTAGGGAGTGTCTACAGACAGGTATACCCCAGAGGCATAACAGCCAGAAAGTCTTTTCTAGTCACGTAGCAGTTACATTCTGTAAGCTGGCTGCCTGAAAGGTGTAATCCTTGCATGAGATCATGACACATTGTAATAAAGCACCTCCAGGAAACGAGTAACATTAATGGAGACAGAGATGTCAAAACTCTGACATTGTTTTCCGCCATTCCTCCACTCCAAAAAAAGGATGTAGTTCCTCATTCCTCAGGAGGTACTGATCAGTCCCTTTCATGTTGTTTACAAGCAATGCCAAAACTACAATTCTGTAACATTAATAATAATATAATACAGGATTTATATAGCGCCAACAGTTTGCGCAGCGCTTTACAATATAAGGAAGACATTATAATCACAATACAATTCAAGACAAGATGGTAAGGAGGGTCTTGCCAGTGAGGGCTTACAATCTAAAAGGGAGGGGCTACATGAGGAAGTAGCTGTGTGAGGATGAATTGTTTGAGAACGTGATAGTTGAGTGGTTAGGCTGAGGTGGGATAGGCTTCTCTGAAGAGATGAGTCATAAGGGATCGCCTAAAGGCAGTTAGAGTGGGAGACAGACAGGTTGGAGTAAGGAGTTCCACAGGATGGGAGAGACTCTAGAGAAGTCCTGGAGGCGAGCACGGGAGGAGTTGACGGGGGAGGTGGAAAGCAGGTCTTTGGAAGAGCGGAGGGGACGGTTAGGGTGATACTTTGAGACAAGGTTTGAGATAAAGCCCGGGGCAGAGTTGTGGATGACTGAGTCATTAATATTTTGAATTTATCCTTTGGGTGATTGGAAGCCAGTGGAGGGATTGGCAGAGGGAGGTGAGTGATGGAAGCCAGTGGAGGGATTGGCAGAGGGGGGTGAGTGATGGAAGCAAGTGGAGGGATTGGCAGAGGGGGTTGCAGACATTGAACAGTTTGGTTAGGCGAATGAGTCTAGCAGCAGCATTCATGACAGACTGAAGGGGGGATAGCCTGTGTAGAGTTCAGCCAATGAGGAGGGAGTTGCAATAGTCAAGACGAGAGATAACAAGTGAGTGGACAAGTAATTTAGCGGTTTCATTGGTGAGGAAGGGGTGTATTTTGGAGAAGTTGCGAAGGCGGCAGGATTTGGATAGTGATTGAATGTGGGGAAGAAGTGTCAGAGTCAAGGATGACACCTAGCACCTTGGCATGGAGGGGGGGAGTTGGATAGTTGTGTTATCAATCTAAAAGGAAATGTTGGGGGAAAGGTAACATGTCCAATGTTAAGGCTCAACTAAAGCTAAGAAGAAAGCGGCCAGACCCATTCCACAGTCCATAAAAGATTACATGTAATATTACTAGGATCCGAAGTGGAATAGGTCCCCAGAGGCAGCCTAAAAGTGGTGGCCAATAGCCAGGCCCCAACAGTATCATGTGCAGGGCTTGAAAAATCCACTTGTTCCACTCATGACGAGAGGATGGTGGAGCCCGACGAGCAGCTTGACTGTAAAGCTCCCGGCCGGCCATATAATTACAACGGCCGGCCGGGAGCTTTACATTCAAGCGATCGCGCGTCTCTAGAGACGCTCGATCGCTTGTATTAGCAGCTGTCACTGCCGTTGCTGGTCCCAAAATCCGCTGTGCCCGATGCGGCCAGGACCGGCACGGTTCTGTGACAGGAGATCAAAAGGGAGTTCAGTATACGAACTACCTTTGATCTCCTCAGTCCCCGAATGCAGGAAGTGTTGTAGATTACATCACTTCCTGCATTCAGTGTCACTCTCCAGCTACAGAAGCTGATGAAGCCGATCTCTGCTTCATCAGCTTCTCTGGGGGTCCCTAGGTGACCAAAGGGGTCTTGGAGACCCCTGATGTCTCCATAAAGAGGACCTGTCATGTAAATTGGCTATTATATAGGGGCTTCTTAGCCCCCGATGTAATAGCAATAAAGTTGTTTCAAAAAAAAAGTAATAAAAAAATAAAAAAAAATAAAAGCATAACATTTTTTTAAAAAGAAAACATTTTTTTTTTAACTGCCCGCCCACCACATACACACTCATATGCGTTGGGTGCGCCTACGCAAATTGCGCCTATTGTGCAGCACATGTTACATATCGCCGCAAACGTCAGAGTGAGAGCAATAATTTTAGGGCCATCAATCACCAATAACACTAAACTGATGAGCAGTAAAAGCATTTTAAGCATCGCCTATGGGTGTTTTTTGCGATTTTGAGGGCGCACGCAATTTTAAGGCTTGACATGTTTGGTGTTCATTTACCCGACGTGATCCCGACTTTTATGTTTTACCAAAAGTATGGGAATAAATGTTTTATAACAGTGAAGGGAAACTTTTTTTTGTCTTTTACATTTACGGTACTTTTTTCATTATATAGTAAAAAAAATATAAAAAATATATACCTCCATACAATCTCCAAGCCTGCTAAAAGCTTGTTGAAAGTAAACCTGTAATAATTTACAAAATGCAGACTGTGGGTATATAGTACTTTTCATGTAAAGCAGGAACCTTTGTGTGCTTGCTATTTATTGTACAAGTTCTTTTTTTTTTTCTTAGTTACAGTGTTTTCCAAACCTGCAGCCAGCAGTCCCATTGAGGGCTTGTTCACACCAATTGCAGTGCGTTTCAGAGCGGTAGCTGCTGGAACGCACAGCAATCGCATACTAAACGCCCCCTTTCGTTCTGGGGTGGGAGGGGGCGTGGCGGTGCATTCATTGGCACCACAGCCACGTCCCCCTCCCGCAGTGCGATCAGAAGTGTGGCAAAACATTGCCTGTCTTCCGGTCCACTGCAAACACAAAAAATAGATCATGCAGCATTTTTTTGCATTCACAGTGGAACGGAAACGCAGGCAATGTTTTCCCATGCATCTGATCGCACTGCGGGCAAGGGGCGTGGCTGCGGTGCCATTGACTTCAATGCACCGAGACGCCCCCTCCTGCCCAAGAAGGTGGAAGTTTAGTAAGCGTTTGTTATGCATTCCAGCAGGTACTGCTCTGGAACGCACCGCCATTGGTGTGAATGGACCCTCAGAGTCATCACTCCCCAACTAAAGCAAAAGCAGATTAAAGCTTGTTAAATGTTGTCCTTCAGATGTACATTCACCAGCCAAGATGGAACAATTCCTCTGTGTTTAGGGCTTCATATCAATACAGTACACAAAAATTCAGCAATATTTGTCAGAACAGAACATTCCAGTGATTATATAGAACGTACCTGCAAATAAGCCTTGCGCACAACCTCTAGCTCATCGCCGAGTGGTACCACAAATTTCTCAAGCTGCCTCTCATGGGAGTAAGGCCGAATATCGGGAGAGTCCTCCGACCTCAGTTCTATGCGACCAATCAGCAGGTTGGAAACCACTTGCTGTACGGACTGAACAACAGACACATTTAAAAAGACGAAGAACAGTGCTCATTTTAACCTCTCTAGCAATCATTACAGGTATTTATTAGAGGTGCACCAAAATGACATTTTGAAACCAAAACCGGGAGAAAAAAAAAAAAGAAAGCCAGGCCAAAACCAAAAATGTCTTTTTTCTAACCTTCATTTTTTTTAAATATTTAATTTCTACTTATTTTTATCTCTTAACTTTACTGCTACGGGGCTTCGGTCACACACCAATTTAGACAGTCAATTAACCTACCAGCTTGTCTTGGGAGTGTGGGAGGAAACTGAAACCCGAAGGAAACCCACACAAGCAAAGGGAGGATATGCAAACTCCTTGAATATCATGTCCTGGCTTGGATTCGAACCAGAGACCCCAGGTGCTGCAATGCACTTGGCTTGAACTCTTGCTAGCACCATGACATTACATGCTGCCATTGCCTCCTGGTCCTAAGATGAAGCTTTTGACCATGGCAACAGAGAAAGTAAATCTAATTGCCAGGTAATGTCCTGTTTCCTCCCCAGTGGCATACAGTGTATATATAAAGAGGATGCTACAGTTATATGGCCAGAGCAGTAAACTCTCGTACCATAAATAATATCCAGTTAGTAGAGGTGCACCAAAATAGAAATTTAAAAACCGAAAATGTTTTTTGTATATTTTTATTTTATTAATTTTTTATTAAATATTTTTATTTTTTACTTTACTTTTAGGGGCTTCGGGGAAATATTGGGGGCCAAAAACACACCCCTGATATTTCCCTTTTAAAATAGAAAAAGAGATTGAGAACACAGAGTCCTCAATCTCTTTTTCTGTATCCCCTGTTATCAATGAACAGGAATCCTCTATGAGTGTTCCTGTTCATTGATAACATGAGGAGTAAGTACAGAGTATGTTTACTATAACCACAACTATGAATGAACAGGAGGTGATGTAGCTCACTTCCCATTCATTCATAATTGAGGATATAGTCCACATACCATGTCCTCAATTATGTTCAAATACTCAGCGATCACTGAGTGTTTGTACTCGCTCTCCTCTCTGACACACTGTCACAGGAGGCTGAGTAAGCGGTGCGAGAGGAGAGCTCAGCCTCCTGTGACAGCGGTCTCCGCCCCCATACCGCTCTGCCGCACTGTGATAGGCGGCCGAGCAGTGTGGGAGGAGAGACACCGGCCGCTCACAGCGCTCGTCTCGCAGCGCTCGGCCGGCTGTCACTTTCTCTCCTCCCCGCTGGGACACAGAGCAACGCCCAGCAGGGAGGAAAGAACGCAGGGATGCGCCGATGTATCGGCAGGAAAATTGCACATTTGGCATTTAACCAAAAGTGCCATTTTCGGCCGATATATCGGTGCATCCCTGGTCTATACACAGTGTATATGGGACCTTACACCACAGCAGCGAAGGGGGAGAGAAGCTCCAGGGAGCAACAAATAAAATATGTACTTATTCCTTACCCTCCTAGCCAAAACGTTTAACTCGCAAGGCAGAGGTGAACCAACTGCACAGGTCAAGTAAAAAAGCAGATTACAGTTGAGCTTTCAGGTTTGTATTCCCTGAAGAAAGACTGGAATGTCTGTGCGGTATATAACCATGTTGAGGAGATTTCCCTCACTTCCTGTCCTGGTGACAGGTTCCATTGGGACAGGAAGTGATGGGAAATGTATGCAACCTGAACAAAAATAACAATAAGCCCTGGCTGAAGTTTTAGCCCTTCTCCACTTAATGTCCATAATGTTCCCTGCGCCGGAAACGAGGCCTGGAACGCAAGGCCTGCGGCGCCCGGAAGCGCGTCACCCGCATCGGAAGTGACCCAATCGGTCCTCCTATCCAGCCGTGGAGTAACTCCCGGAGCCCCCAGACCAGCAGCACCTGACTACTAGCCCTCCGGTCCGAGGGCTCAGCCAAGGGGGTAGTCGCAGCTCCGGTACTGGCCCTTCCCGGGCACTGAAAGAAATGGAGGACCTGGTGTGGAATCAACTGCGGCAAGTGGAGCGCACCAGTGGCCCATATAAAGGTAACCATGGCATGACAAAACCCGAGCGGTATCCCCAAAAAGAGGCCCCCTCGTCGTTCCGGTGACATGCTCCCCCCTGACGGAAGAAACACGAAAAACTGAGGAGCTAGGAGAGAGGCGGGCCTTTTAAACAACTGAGGGTGACGTGTTTCCTAATAAAAGGGGTGGAGCCTCTCTCTCGCAAGCTGTTCTGGAGGATGAAAGGGAAAATAAAGAACTAATTCTCAACGTAGACCGTTGGCTCACCTTGGTATCGCTGCCTGGAGTGGCACTAAGAGCCAAAATGCGAAACTGTCTAGTATAGTTGCTCAGCTCCCGGACCACCTGTGTAAGAGGGAAATAGAAAAAAATGATGCAGAAGTGAAGCAGTCTGAAGAGACCATTACTTTTAGAAACCCAATATGAAAATCTAATGCACTAAACAGATATCTATAGTGGACACAGAAAGAAACACATTTAAATGCACATGCACCTCATTGGCCCCCCCAAAAAAGCAAGGCTGTATTTTGCAGAGAGCTTCTTTTGCTTTCATCTCCATAACCAATGCAGTCATACAAAAGGTGAATGACAAGTCTGCACAGATGACAATAATCAAGTTATTAAAGCGGATCTTTACCCCCTTTGACTAAAAAAATCACATCAGCGTACAGCCCTGCACGCCCATATGAAATCATTTCACATTCATTGGAAAAAACATTTTTTTATTTTACTTCCAATTACTTTTTTTTACACTTCCTGGTCCACTTTGACACACATGATGTAAAGTGCCCAAGCATTGCATCCTGGGAAGGTTACATCAGCAGAACATTGCTGAAAAATCTCATCTGTAATCTCACGTGATGTCAGGGAAAGGCATTTTCGCTGCCCTGTGATGATGTGCATGGTCACATGTCCTAGTCACATGTGCCAGAGATCCAGGAAGTAAAGAGATCTAGTAACTTGCCCTTAGTAAAAATGGCCACTGAGAGAAGAATGGTGAGGAAAAGAAAAATGAGCTATGCAAAAAATGAAAAGCCGTCCATTATCTAGAAGTATCTGTTTGTAGATCATTACTAAACATTTCTAAAGGTGCTTTTCATGTTATTTTGAAGATCTCGGTAATGTTCCTCTTGAACTTTCTAACCTGTGCTGCAAAAAATGCTAGAAAGGGTTACAACTGGAATTAGCTCTGCATTTCCCAAATCCCTTTTTCAAAGAATATACTTTAAAATCTAATTAGTTTGTTCAAAATGTAAATCAGCTAAATTTATGTTGCAGCAAAATGTTCTATTTTGAATATTATAATGTTTTAATGTATATATTCCTATTCCCCAGCAGTAAGCTGTAGATAAAGACCACTGCCCCGCGTGGAAGCAGCGGTCTCTCTGCAGCAGTCTGACACGACCCTTTCACTACAACAACACAAAGTCTTGGCCAACTTACTGGAAAATGAAGCAGTGGCACACTGATGAGGTCAAATCTAACAGGGTTATTCACAGAAGGGTGGAGAGTATGGAGAAGGCAGAAGAAGGAAACTATCTAGGACAACATTGCTGAACTGGAAAGTGAGCTGAAGTGGAGAAGTTTTCCAAACCAGTTTTGTTGTCATAGATTGTTCACCTCTACTGCCTTCTCCAAACTCTTCACCCTTTGGTAAATACCCGTTAGTCTTGTGCTTCTCCTGTCAGCAATTTCAGTTCACGTGCTTGATTTGTGCCTAGTACTACCTCTACCTCAGTCTGAGCTTTTCTGTGCTGCCGCTGCTGATTAATAGAGGCTGGAATCTCGATAAATGCATTTACGTTAAGGCCTCATTCACATGAGAAATGGCCGGCACGTACAGCTCCGTGCTGCGTGCACAGCCGTAGTATGGGGCAGGTCCCGGGAGGACAGGTGCTGCGTGTGATTACTACGCAGCCCATGTCCTCCTCTATGGGAGTACACGGCCATACCCCACAGTACCATTACCCCAAGTGCATGGCCATACGAGTGCCCCGGCTCGGACACAGACAGGATCCATCATGTCAGCGTACGGACACCCACACGGATGTGCAGGGTGGGTGAGCGTAGGGCAGCGTATGACCGCATACTCCCATAGAGAAGGACAGGGGCTGCGTGCTAATCACACACAGCACCTGTCCTACCCGGAAACTGCCCAATACGGCCGTGCACGGAGCTGTAAGTGTCGGCCTTTTCTCGTGTGAATGAGCCCTTAATTGCATTTTTTTTTTAAATGTCCATTCTTTTGTGAAAATATAACAAAGCCCATCTCCAGGCAGCACAATTTCCAATATATATTTAGTAGTGGGGCTTAGACTGACCAGCTAATTGCAGAAACGTCACCAGCACACCAAATCCTTATAGGATCGAAATCGTAGATTTTATTGCAAACTCATGTCAGTTACACAAGCGCTTTCGGGGCCACACAGGGTCCCTTCATCAGGCATAGCAATGACGTAGCCTCCCACACCCTTAAAACAAGATTTTCCTCTCACCTCCTGGCCAATAACAAAATAGAGCCTAAAGCCAATTGCCTTGTGATTGGCCAGGAGAAAAGAGGTGGACGGGGATGAGCAGAGCTTAGCGTGTGAGAGGGAGACTGCAACAAGGAGCCATTCAAATGTGATTCAGTGCTCACGTGTAAACAAAATAAATACTGACAGGAGCAGAAAGCGGAGTGAAAAAAAAAACAAATAACCCAGGCAGATCTTTCAAACGTATTTATACATATGTTATACGTCAGTGGTTCTCAACCTTTCTAGGGCCGGACCCCTTGGTAACATTTGCCAAGTTGTGGTGACCCCAATGGTAAAATTTAGGGGTGCACCAATACTAGTATCTGAGTGGGCTCTCACGGGGCTAGTGGCACTCACCTCCCCTCCCCTCACTCCTGCCTGCTCCCCTCTCTCTGATCCTCTCTGGCTACTGCTGCAGCAGCACCATCTAGGAGAACTGACACTGCTGCACTAGGAGGAGGCTAAGGAGTATCTTACCTAGCACAGCACAAGGCACATGGCGACCCCCCTCAACTGTGGCTTGCGACCCACAGGTTGAGAACCACTGTTATACGTAGATATAAACATGGTTGCGATGGCAGTCATCTGAGTCACCTGACAATATGCATAGTTGCCCAGAGCCTTGTGAGCTTCATCTATGACAAGACACTTGACTTGAGAAGCAGGACAGGCACCTCGTGTAAGATCATTCACCATGATCTGAGGCGTTAGGAAAAACACCCGGTGGTCTTGCCACATGTCTTTGCGGTTTTGGGCTTGAGTATTACCTGTGAAAATTAAGAAAAAGAGAAAAAAGTCAGCTGATCAAAGTACATTTAAATAAAAGTAACAAGTTAAATATTCACATGCAAAGCATGAAGCTTCAGACTGGATTGACACAGTCCATGAAGCATGCGTGGTAATACTCAGGTGTAAACAGACCCATATAGTTTACCTTCACACTAAACTGCATCAAATAGATGTGACCCGGGTACATAGGGAATAATGGCATTTCTACTTCCAATGTATCTTCTGCTGCATAAAAATGCCATGCCAGGCTAATGCCACCTTTTGGACCATGTTTCATCATGTTATACCGAGAGGCACTGGTATGATGAATGGGTTCAGCCGCCTGTGTGCATGAGCCCTTATAAAGCAATGAATCCGACATTCAGCAAACATTCTCTGCAGGAGAATCTTCCAGATCCATGTGTATTAAATTACAGTGATTGATTCTTCGCCAAAGAATGTTTGGTGAAAGTCACATTCACTGCTTTATAAATCAACCCCTGAGGGTCAGTGTAGACAAGCTTTTTTTTCCATGTGAGATAGGTTTTTACTAGGGATGTAACAATACCAGTTTTCCGGTATCGAGTACGAGTATTCGCCGATACCGAATATCGACACCGGAAGTCCCATTAAGGAAACCAGGCCGCGTGTAATCACTCGCCGCCCGGCTACCTGATTAGCCGGGAAGCCGTCTCCATGCTCCCTGGTGACGAGGAATCATGGAGCTGCCTTTCTGGCCAATCAGGAAAGCCCAGGGGATAGGGGTAATGACTCATTACCCACTTCATGACTAGCCAGCTTTCTGACCAAACAGGAAGCCGGGCAGCGAGTCATTAAACGACACCCGACTTCCTGATTGGCTGGGAAGCAGACTCCCTGCTCCCTCATCACCAGGTGACGAGAAAGCACAGAGCTGACTTTCTGGCCAATCAGGAAGTCAGGGGACGAGTAATGACTCGCCGCCCGGCTTCCTGATTGGCCGGGAAGCCAGCTCCAAGCTCCCTGGTGATGAGGGAGCTTGGAGCCAGCTCATACAAAATGCATGCACATGCAGGGCGCATTTGTGTTACTTGGTAACAGTTGTGCACAGGCTCGGCAATCTTGGTTTACACCAAGTCCCCACACATCAATACTCAAGATTAGTGATAAGCCTGGGCTTGGTGTGAACCCAATTCGCCCAAGCCTGCTCAAAACTGTGACCACAATCCCCTCTTTGTGACCCAATCAGTGGCGGTGGGGAGCCTTTCCTGTCCCTTTGTGACATATAGTTACGGGAATGCACCTCTCCACAAATGTTTGGCCTGGGGGGGCGAAGTGGCGATCACAGTTTTAAGTGGGCTTAGATGAACTCATGCGAACCCTGTTCACACCAAGCCCATCACTACTCAAGACATAGGACTCAACTACACTGCACAAGCAGGAAGCAGACACAAGGACGACTCCTAATGAGCAGATATTGCTGGTCATTGCCCAAAACAAAAAGCATTACAATGCACCAAAAATATGCATAAATGCAACACACAAGTGTGAATGGCAAACTAAACTGTGGTGTAGATGAGTCATATAGCACTCCGTACTGGCATGTCCCTTGTGGTGGGTGCTGTAGTGACTGCTGATCGCGCCACTTCAGAGCCAAATAGTAAAGTATGTGACCAGCACACCGTGGTTCAATCTTCAAGCAGTGATCATTTTATTGATGCACACACACCTTGTCACATTGCAACATTTCAGAGCCATTCGTGGTCCCTTCATCAGGCAAAACAAAGTGTTATAATTCATTGCAAGTCAAATACACACCACCAAAGTGCACTGCTTGAAGATTGAACCATGGTGTGCTGGTGCCATACTTTACAAAACTGTGGTGTGGCACTTCAATCTCAGCCCTGTTCCCACTGGTGCGAGTGCAGCAGCACACTCGTGCGAATGTACATTTATCTGCACCCTGTATAGAGCAGCCCATTCGTTTCAATGGCCTGTCCTATGTACGACAATCGTACTGAATAAACCCCTGCACTTTTTAACACACTGCACCAAAACGCACAACACTTCGTTCCCATACATTTTGTAGCGGTTTCACGCACATAATAGCACGTGGTACAAGGTTGTTGGGGTGTCTTTAGAAAAACTGAATGACACCACGGGATGTCTTATAAAGTAACATATGTCTTGGTATGCTGCATCTACATGTAGGAATGGGGACACAGATCTGCTGCTTTGCAATACACAGCAAGGAAATGGTGGGAGTCCTCTGGGGTGTAAAAGCTGGCCGCCAGGTGACCAGACATCTTGTACCAGTCTAATATTACTGGATGGAGATACCAATAGTACAACCCTGTAGTCAACATGAGCAATATATGGTGAAGATACCTGTCATCTCCACCATGTGCTCCTGAGGGATGCCCATGACCCGGAAGCAGGCTTCTATCTGCTGGGCCACCAGTGGCTTGGTAGGAGCCATGAAAATGATCTTGCCGGATGGGTACCAGCGGTAAAAGTTGTACATGACTACGGCGGCAATGAAGGTCTTGCCCAGGCCGGTGGGCAGGCACACCAGGGTGTTGTGCAGCAGCGCGGTGTGCGCCATGGTGAATTGGTATTCCCGGACAGGTAAGTTGGTGGGGTAGATCCATACATTCCCAGCAGACAGGTCAAAGCCCGGCAGGTTCTGGATTTCGGGGGCACTAGGGGGATCCAGGGGGACAGTGTGAGCATGGTGGGTGACAGTGGCATTTAATGTTTTCTCAGCTTCATACACAGCAACAAGCAGCACATCATCGTCATCATCCTCAGCTTCACCATGCTGGGGTGCTGCCTGCCAGGTTGGTGGTGCAGCCCTATGAGAGTCCTTCTGTGATAAAACCGTCTTCCCTTTCCTGGCAACCTTGGCTTTGGCCTTTTTCGCTGGGTGCTCCGGAGCTCGCCTTGGCTCAGGGGCCACGCCAGAGCCCCAGGACTGAAAGAGGGTCCTCTGCTTCCCGTTCATCCTGTTCCTCCATAAGAAGCAGACCAGCTCTGCATCCACACGATTAAAATAAGGCGCCCCTGCTGCACGTCACACTACCGGAAGTGACCTGTCAGTAGCCTGGGCTCTCCGTCTGCCTCACTGAACATGGCGGCTGCGAGCAGAGCGAAGAACAACTTCACAGCGATGAGCTGCCGAAGAAAGATGTGATCGCCTTCCTGCAGCAACACGGTTCGGAATCGGTATGGGCTGCCTGGGGGAGAGGAGGAGGAATGCTGGGAGTTGGAGTCCTCCGAGGGATGGGCGGGCAGCACGTGTGCTCAGGATGGGGGGCTGCGGATGGCACAGCACCAGATTCCTGACCCGTGACATGACACTCCCAATATTAATATTAAATAAACTCTGTGTGTATATATATATATATATATATATATATATATATATATATATATATATATATTTTTTATATATTTTATATATCTATATATTTTTTTTAT